TGACATCATTTGTATCAGTTGATACTACTAATAATCATAATGATAACCCAATCCAGAAGACAAACAAATTTTAAGACAAGAAAATGTTTAAGTCTTGACATTCGAATGTATTTACATAGCTCTGTGTGATGGGGGAATCAAAAGACTTTCAGACCTGGCCGGTTGCCCAGTGGTTAGAGCGTTGGCCCGCACACTGAAGGGTCTCAGGATCAATTCCTGATCAAGAGCCTGTGCCTGGGTTGCAGGTTTGTGCCCCACCCCTGGTCAGGGCGTGTGAGAGGCAACCAGTTGATGTATCTCTCTCACATCGATGTTTCTCTTCCTCTCTCTCTTCCACTCTTTGAAAAAGCAATGGAAAAATATCTTCAGGTAAAGATTAACAACAACAAAAAGACTGGAAACATATTAGGATAAAATTCTGTTGGGTGAAATGGAAATATGCATTAAGAAAAAATGGAGCTGTGTAAAAATTCAGGTGTTAAAGAGGCTATTCATGTGTTTTTCCAACTGTGTACACCCTTTAAAATGTCATTAATTCTTTTTTCTTTGGTCTGCTGCATATATATATATATATATATATATATACCCAGGCATGTGCTCTGACTGGGAATCTAATCATGACCTCCCGGTTCTTAGGTCAACACTCAACCGCTGAGCCATGCCAGCCGGGCTAGTCTGCTGCTTTTTAAAATTAATATAATTTGCTTTTTAGAGTAGTTTGGGGTTTACTGGAAAATTGAGCAGAAATCATGGAGCATTCTCAAATGTCACCCTCTCCCCCGCCCCTCCCGGTTCCCTCTATTATTAATATTAACATCTTTCATTGGTTTGACAATTTGTTACAATTAATAAGCCAGTATTGACACATTATTATTAACTAAAGTCTATGGTGTACATGAAGGTTCCCTCTTGGTGTTGAACATTCTTTGGGTTTGGACAAATGTAGAATGACATATATCTGCCATTAAGTTTAGACCAGTGGTTCTCAACCTTCCTAATGCCACAACCCTTTAATACAGTTCCTCATGTTTTGGTGACCCCCCCAACCATAAAATTATTTTCGTTGCTACTTCATAACTGTAATTTTGCTACTGTTATGAATCTTGTGGTGACCCCCAATTTCATTGTTACAAATTGAACATAATTAAAGCATAGTGATTAATCACAAAAACAATATGTAATTATATATGTGTTTTCCAATGGTCTTAGGCAACCCCTGTGAAAGGGTCGTTCGACCCCCAAAGGGGTCGCGACCCACAGGTTGAGAACCTCTGGTTTAGACAGAGTAGTTTCCCTGCCCTAGACACTCTCTGTGCTCCATCTATTCATCCCTGCTTCCCCCCAATCCCTGGGAACCACTGATCTTTTTACTGTCACCATAGTGTTATCTTTTCATTATGTCATCGAGTTGGAATCATATGGTATGTAGCCTTCTCAGACTGGCTTCTTTACTTACAATATGAACTTAAGTTTCCTCCAGGTCTTTTCATGATTTGATAGGTCATTTCTTTTTAGTGCTGAACAATATTCCATTGTCTGGATGGACCACAGTTTGTTTTATCTCTTCACCTTTTGAAGAACTTTTCAGTTTCTTCCAAGTTTGGGCAATAAACACCCATGTGCAGATTTCCGTGTAAACATAGGTTTTTATTCCTTTGGGTAAATTGCTGAATCATATGGTAGGAACGTGTTTCATTTTGAAAGAAACTTCCAAAGTGGCTGAACTAGTTTGCATCCGCCAGCAGTGAATGCGAGTTCCTGTTGCTCCACGTCCTCACCAGCATTTGGTGTTGTTTGTGTTCTGGATTTTGGCGATTCTAAGAGGTGGATAGTGATATCTCATTTTAATTTGCATTTCTCTGATGACATATGATGTTAAGCGTCTTTTCATGTGCTTATTTGCCATCTGTGTATCTTCTTTGGTGAGGCGTCTGCTCAGACCTTTTGCCCATTTTTTAGTTGGCTTCTTTGTTTTCTTATTGCTGAGTTTTAAGGGTTCTTTGTATATTTTAGATAACAATCGTTTATCAGATACATGTTTTGCAAATATTTTCTCCCAGTCTGTCGTTTCTTTTCATTCTCTTAATAGTGTATTTTGTGGAACAGAAGCTCTCTCTCCGGAGGGGAGGGGGAAACTATATGCTAGTGGAGAATTGGCTTCACCTGGGGAGGCCGAAACCCAGAAAGACAGGAAGGTGGTTCCTTTTTAATCCTCACCTGAGGATAAGTTTATTGATATTAGAGAGGAATGGAGAGAGAGGAGAAACATCGCTGTGAGAGAAACATCTATCAATTGCCTCCCGTATGCGCCCCAACTGGGATTGAACCTGCAACCTAGGTATGTGCCCTGAATGGGAATCGAACCCACAACCTTTTTGATGTGGGACAACGCTCCAACCAACTGAGCCATCCAGCCAGGCAAGACAGGAAGGAGCCCTACCTCAGGTGGGGACAAAGGAGCCTTTCAGATTGACACAGGACACAGAGCAGGGTGTTTGATGATTGCAGATATCTTCCTCAGGGTTTCGGGATCTGTTGTGTCTCAAACGGTTTTCAGCACCTTGCTTCAATCAGTGACATTACAATTGGTAATTTAGCACAGAGAACTGAGACAAGATGTTTGTAGAGTTGAGTTGCAGGGGGCCTCAGGCTCAGGTTGTGTCCAGCTTCAGCTAATGCCCCAAGTGAATTCAGTGTTTGTTTGAGGAGGTGCTTACCTTCCTACCCAGCTGAGAGCCCCTGAGGCTGCTTCAAGCTGTCTGCTCATCGCCCTACCTGGCCCAGTTTTTTGCATGTTAACATTTCTGAAATCTAGAGGCATCTAAGGATTATAACTCAGAGCATGTTCTCATTTCTTAGTGGCTCATAAAACACTGGTACATCTTAAAATCTATGCTATCTCAGAGTCCATGAAGTAAGGGAGTCAGTATCAACAAATATTAGTGCATAAAGTCTGTGACTTAAGCAACGTGACCGCCACTTTTAGATCTGCATTCTTCTGTGAAATGGGCAGTGACTGGACTGAGCCCACATTGAAGCACATTCTGAAAGCCAAAGGAACAGTAGATGCCAGACATATTTGTTACAATTAAATCATTCACCACCACCCCTCTTATTTCTACAAGGACAGAGCCCAGGAGGTCAAGGGCTTCCCCGGCGTTCCTGCGTATTCACCGAAGATTCCTCTTTACCTTGACTCCCAGGTTTTGCTTCACCCTCATCCTAAACCGTAAGACCCGGGCCCCAGGTTTGCGGAAGTGACCAGAGCTGCTTGGCTCCGGTGCCGGGTGCCGGGTGCCGGGTGCCGGGTGCCGGGTGCCGGGTGCCTCTCAGGGTGGAACAGAAGGATGCAGCAGGAGCAGTCAGTCTTCCCAGAGCCTCAGTCTGTGTTTCTGGAGGCTTCCTCTGCCCAGCTCAGCTCTGGTGGGCAGAGCTCAGTCAAGGAGAGGCCAAGGGTTGGGGAGAAACAGGCCTGTGGAGTAAACCTGGAAGAAGAGGGACAGTTTTTGGCACATTGCTGTATTTTTATACTTGAGAATTGGGGACCTTGGACCTTCGCATGCAGATTTATGCCAAATGAGATGCAAATCAGGGCCCCGCTTTTCTGAAGTCCTGGCCTCTCTGTCTCCTAAGACCTTGACCCTGGGACCTCAGCTGGCTTCTAAGAAATAAAGTGCGTATGGGTTGGGGGAGGGAGGAGAGAAAAACATCAATTTTACTAAAATGTACTCACTGGGCAAATGCATCAGATATGACACAAAGCACTTAAGAAAAAGAGGTAAATCAGGAGGGGAAGGGGAGGTGGGGACATGCAGGGGAAGAGGAGTGCAGTGGGGTCGGAGAGGCCCCGGCAGCAGCCTGGGGCATTTCTTTGGATTGGCAGTAAATGAATGATGGTCAAATGGGCGCAAAGCACCACAACGTGCCCTGGCCCGAAGAGGCCCGAGAGCGAGGGATCCTGCGCTTCCAGCATTTTCGTCTTGGTTATCTCCCGGACTCCGCGCGTGGGGCAAGCCGACCCTGGCGGGCAGCAGAGGGAAGGCCC